TAGGGAATGCTGAAAGACAAACAAGGGAATTTACTATTTGGCCAGGAGAAAATACAGAGAAGGTGGAAAGAATATGCAGGAGAGCTTAAAGGATGACAGACAGCTTCACAGAGGACTCCTATGAGGAAGAACCAGCAATGTTAGAAAGCAAAGTGAAAGAGGCTCCTAACATTGGCCAGGGAATGCTGGGAGTTGTAGGATTTTTCTCTGTCTAAACATGCATAGGATTGCGTCTTAAACATTCTTTTGGCCGCCCTTTTGAATTAGCCTTGTGTATTATTTCCATTCTGAAGCAAGTCACAACTTTGTCCCACTGCCATGCCATGCTTTTGAACTTTTATATTTCTAATATATTAGAGAGGAAAACAAAACAAACAGAACACAGTTCTTCCACCCTGATAAAGAAAAAGAAAACAAACACTCTAAGCAGGGGCAGCTTCGCATTTTAAACTCACTTAAATCATGGAACCTTCAGGGCTGAAATGGGTGTCTGCTTTTGCTGCCCTGATGATAAGCACATTCACTTGAGAATGCGCCCCATTTTGTTGTAATAAAGGGTAAGACAGTGCAAAGTAATACAAAGTAAAATAATAAACTGAGCATCCCTGACTACAAACATGCCTGGCTCACCACCTTTTTTTAAAAAAAAGAAATAAGCAGAAAGGATGTTGCTGAACAGCCTGAGTGCACCTGCCACTCTTACATGCAAGGCCCCCCTGAGTTTTGGGGGCCTTGCATTCAGCCTCAGGATCCAGCCGAATCTGCAACACCGCCGGCTGCAGTAGCAATCGCTTGTGAGAGTATGACAATTGCGCAGAGAAGAGCATGTCCCTGGCCAACTTCATTTAAAAAGAGAGGCCATATGGTCTAGTGGTTAGTGCGTTGAATGGGGACTTCTAGTCCCCATCCGGCTTCTAGTCCCCATCTCCCATGAAGTTCGCTGGGGACTTTGAGTCTCTCTTTGACTTCCAGCCTAATTTGAGAATAAAACGGAGAGGGGGGTTCTGTACACTGCCTTGGGCTCCTTGCAAGAGGGAAACAGGGGCGGGATTCAAATACAATAACGAGTCAAAAGGTCTATCGGTCTTCCCCGCCGCTACGCAAAGGAGTAATGATCTCCGGCTCCCGCTAGGCGTCTCTGGACCCTCGAAGCGCAAGATCCGAGTTTATTCCAAGAGTTGAAGGCGATCGGAGCGGTGCGGCGGGATCCGAGAGCTGGGAGGCGTCTCTCTTGAGGAGGAGTCGCGCAGTGGTTCGCCAGCTCGCCGCCGCGCGTTTGCACCAGCACTTCCCAGCCGTCTCCCGACCCCGCCGGCACGACCTCCCGGATCGCCAGCAAAGGTACGGGAGGGATGCGGGAGCCCTGCCCGGCTTTTCCCTGCTCTTGGGTGGCGCCCGCCGCGGGGAAAGGGCGATCCGTAGGCGGCCGCGGAGCAGGCGGGCGGGGAGGACGGGAAACGGCCACTTGGAGGAGCGGCAACAAAGGAAGGAAGCCCTCGCCTCCGAAAGTTGGCGGGGCCCTGCGCCGGGCGCGCCGCCGCTCCTGAATCGGAGTTTGGCCAGGTGGAGAAGGAGAAAATCTGTCGGCGCGGGGCCACGAAGTTAGTGGCTCTTCTCCTCCCTTAAAGCATGCGGGGCAGCCCTCCCAACCCGGGCCGCCAGATGTTGGACTACAACTCCCAGCATCCCCCAGCCATGGAGGACCTCGGGTGGGAAGGCGGGTATGGGTGAGGGCAGCTAGCGTAGCTCTTTCCTGCTCTTTGCAGCCTAGGGGGCCTTTTGCTTGCATGTGAGGCGGAGAGAGAGAGGGAGGGAGTAGCTGAGGAAAGGCCCCTTCGGCCCGGCCCGGGGTTTGAACGGAGGCGTTTGGCGGGGAGAATGAGGTTGGAAGGCTGGGAAGTTAACTTTGCTTCGCGAGACATGGGAGTGAGCCCAAACTGCTTGCAGGGTGCGTTTGAGAATCCCACGGGCACTTCTTAACGCCTCCGCCAAGATCCGGCGTCCCCCAACTTTTTTTAGTCCCGTGAAACTAACGCGAGACAGTTGCTTTATAGGCTTTGTATTGCGTTATTTAATTTATCTTTGAACTGTTGTCAGCCCAACTTTCTGACTTACCTGGCACCCCTAGTAAGTAGAATGCAGTTGAACTTATTTGCATCAAGATTCTGCACCATAATAACCGGTTGCTTCCTCTCTATCCTGGTCCCTTAGGTTGTTTGGGCAGCCTTGATATGTGGCAAGGAATTCAAAAAGAATTAGCAGAGTTTTATGAAAGCGTTATGGCATATGTTTGCAAAGCATTATGGCATATGTTTTTGTAGTCTGCATTTTGCCTTTAAGGTAAAAGAGTCTTTATTTTTTTTATTTTGCTGCGACAGACTGACACTGATCCATGGATGATGGGGAAGGTCTTTAACTAGCTCTTAGACTTAGCTAATATGGGTGTGGCTGAAGGAATTTATTGCTGAGTTGTGAATTTTTCAGTTCATCCAGTGTTGGGATTAAGGCTTCAGCCATATGAAGGCTAAGTCATAGGTCATTAAGGTTGGGATCAAACGTTACCTATAAGTGATATTTGCTTAGGTTGGAATAATGCCATATGCAAGTGGCAAAGTGACTGGAAAATGGTAGGACAGAGCCATTGTGCTTAGTGCTCATACTTGGCAGGTGGTTATAATGCAAAACCTGCTGGACCAGAGTGCATAGGACGACAGAAGAGTGAGGGCCCTATTACACTGTCTTCAAATCCATTCATGATGGATGCTGCATTGGAAGAGAGACGGTTTCTTAATCTTTTAACTGTAGTTAATCTTTGATTTCCTATTTTTGATAAGCACATGTGAAATTTTGCAAGGTAAAATTGAAAAACTGAAGTTTTATAAGAATTAGGAATGTTATAAACCTTGTTGATTCCCTTCTCCATGATAATTATTCCAAAACATCATTAATGTTGTACTAAAGTTAAGTTCTATGCAGAATGCATATGAAATTATGCTGGCACTCCACATTGTTCACCTAAAGCTATGCACCAACCCGGACACTGAAGGTGGTTTTGCTCATAATCAGGAAGCATTAATGAAGTGCATTTCCATTGTAATATGTAAAGGTGGAACTTGCACATCACCACCTTTGGTGAGACAAGTGGAAATAGCTCTTATGTATCTCAGGTTGGGACAGATATGTGCGTTTCCACTTTACATCTAGTAATAGAAGTCTGCATGTTGAAAGACTACTTCCTTGCCACCAATTATTTTTCTGGGGAATATATTTCTCAGTATCCAAAGTGGGTGTGTGTGAAATGCACAGAAGGAAGGCCTTGGTGCTACAGAAGTAATGCATAGTGATGCTCCTTGTTTGTGTGAACAGAGTTTCAGTAAGGGTACAGCGTTATAATAAAAGGACTCTTCCTGTCAGTGCTACTTTACATGAGACTATCAAGCTGGCTAGCTAAAAAAGCATAGCTAAAACACTACACCTCTTAATTATCTAATGTGTTTTGAAGACTTCCTGTACAATTGTACATTTGTACAATTTGTTGTTTGAAGAGGGCATATGTTCTGGGGGTAGGTATGGGTGTGCACATATGTGCCAGGATGGGGGAAAGGAGAGGTTTGTGGCCCAGCAAGAAATTGGGAACGAAAAAGCAAGTGTAAGACTAAAAAGGGCAGTCAGACCTGTAGGCAGTTCTGGGCAGCTGTAGCCAGGACTTTAGGAACAAACAAAGCCCAGAGCAGAGTTGCCAGGAATTTGCTGGCATTGGCTGTAAAGGGCTGGCATTGAACCAAGCCTTAAAGGAGCAAAGACCATTTTTGAGGAAGAAAAGAATCCTTACCTGAGTGTAGCTTGAGACAGTGTATCAAACTCTGCTCTTTGATAACAGTTGGTGGTAGGAAGTAGTTCAAGAATATGCTAGCTTACGGGTTAGAATTAGAAGCGGCTTTTTGAAAGAGGTCATTCTGTGAAACTGTATTTTGATGTTTCTGTTCAGAATAACAATTTCTGTTCTTGGCAGGGCACAAGTTTTTTTATGAGTTTGGGAACATGTGCAAGGTGATGTTGTGCAGTTAAGCATTCATTGGGTTTGATCATGTTTAAGTCTGAATAATATTGCAGTCGTACAATACAGAATCACCCTCTTTTGGAAGATTCAAAGTTTAACCCCAGTCATTTGTGATCATAAAATGTAGATTAAAACACCTTTTCTAGGATACAAATCATCATCATCATCTTTATTTCTATAGCTGAAGTTCTCTGGGTGATTTACAGCAGTGAAATGTCTGCAGCTGGACAAAGGCTTGACTGAAGTCTTTGCTGTAGGTGTAAAATTTGGGGAATTTTAAGGAGCTATTCTTAGGATTCTCTGTGTATTTGTCTTCTTGTGGCAACAGCAGGAGTTGTTTGAGTGAGGAGGATTCCGAACACTCAATAAGCGTTTGTCTGTCTATAAAGTCTGCAAACAGGGCACAAAAGTGACTAGACCCCATATACATTTACTGGCCACATACAGCTGCCTATGTACCTATTTTGTGATTTACAATTGGCTTACCATAAAAGTATTTATTTACAAAAATGCCCATTTCTGGTCACCTACAGGTGATTAGGAGTTGCCACAGCCAGCCGGCAAGTTTCTGGATGAAGCACATTGTCCACTGGCTTCCTTTAGTTGTTTAAAATAGTTACATCCTACCTTTCTTTCTAACATGTCCCTAAGGCAGTTGACAGTCCGCAGGAATGAATATATAGAGCACAGGAATGAATATATGGAACATACTAAGAGTCTTAAAAGACAGTGCTTTCTTAAGGCTGGCTTGGCATAAAAGGCTGAGGGATGGCTTGGCTAGTAAGGAAGATGGCAAGTGTGCCTTGGGATACTTCCAGCCTTACCATGTCAAAACCTGCTGTGTCGCTGTCAGGATTTCATTCTGTCACATGAAACTTGCTGAAAATAATGGGGCAGCACTGAATAGATATTGGAGGGGGGGCATCAAGTCTGCAGTGTTTTAAAAACTTCAGAACACATTGGTTTGGTTAACACTTAATGCTAACCTGTGGTTTGGGTTGTTGTAATGTATGAACACAGCTATTCAAACAAATCTTGATTTGTTAGCCATGAACAACTGAGAAAGAGAGTCCATGGTTGGTTGTTGGGTCATGAACTCTGGGGTTGTGTAAACTATGGTTTCTCATTACAGGTGCATCTAGAACCGTGCATTATTCCTGGGTTATTTTACTACCCTACAGAGGCAGCAGGCAAGAGCTGTCAATAAAAGCAGCTGTTCTACATGCCAGTATTATAGTTTCACAAAAGTTACTGGGATACAGAGAGAAAACAGATGAAGGTGGGAAGCAAATCATGGTTGCTTAGACTGTCAGACCAACCTTGGGTAGGACCAGAAACCATTGGTTAATAATGGGTAAAATAAGCCATGGTTAGTGTTAAGTGCAAACTAGGTTGTTCAGTTACAATGAAAAAGAGCTACTTCTTTTTTTTTTTTTAGAGTTCTAGTTGCATTTACCTATGAATGCATAATAAATAGATTCCTTTAGGTGAAAGAAGCATTTGTTTAAAAGATATGTAGCTGATGAAAATTATGTCCTTTTTCAAGTCTGAAATCTGCATAGCAGAACTAGGCTCACTGATTAGTAAACACACACCTCATGCCCCTGTATCAGGCATGCATTTTGCAAAGTGGCATGACTGAGGTGTCAGGAATGTCTAGGGGAGCAGGCACGGGGGTTGAAGGTCTGTGTCTCAGCTTCAGTGCTGTCCTGTTTTGTCTGTGAGTCACTCCCATTAAACACAAGGGAGCTTGCTTCTGAGTGGCAATGTATCCAATGGCACTGTTAGACACGAACACATGCAAAGCCCCATTGCTGAATTATTTGTTCTTAAATGGCACATAGAACTAGGGACTGGAGGGTTGGAAGCAGGCAAGGCTGCTCATTTGGAAAGCTGCTGTTCTGCACCATCTGTTTTCTGCCACTTCCGGCTCCTCACTGAAAATATGCCTGAGATAAACTGCTTTTCTATTCTGAGCTTCCAAAACACCATGCCTCATGACCCTGTACTATTGTTTATTTTTGTTCCTAAAGGAAATAGGTTGCCTTAACATTGTTGAGCACAGTTCCTACTGGCAGCTTTGGCGATTGCCTCAAAATAGCATATGTTTTCCAGTTCAAACAGAGTCAGCCTTATTTGCCCTTTGAGTGGAACCTCCCCTGTAGGCAAAATGAACTTTGTCACTTGCCATGCAGATCAAGGCCTTTTCGAAATCCCCCCTAAAAGACTCAAGGGAACAGTTTTCATGTTGTACAAGGGTCCCTAGTTTCTAGAGAATCTTTAAAACGATAAGCTGCCGCAAGGCCTCCACCTTACAGTCCATCCCCTCCATGAAATGTTGCAAAGGTCACTTTGCTACTTAGCACAACAATGCTTGCAGCCTCACACCTCCCTTCACAGGCTCCTTCTGGCAAAGTTTCCACCATTGCTGTTTCCATGCTTCTTGCCTAGTTGGATGTGGCTACAACTCCATCACCACCCTGCCTTACCTTTAACTCCCAAATGCTGCTTCTGTTTGACCTGTTCTGTTTATTCCGTCCTCACCCATCCAGCCCCTTTGACTTTAAACACAAGCTTGTGCTTTTCGCTCTGAGTACGTCAAAACCTGCCACTTGTTTCATGGGTACGTGCTAAGTGAGGTGCCATTACAAGAGGAGCATCAATCATACATTGTCATATTGAGAATCTGTCCTTAGTGTGAATGTAGGAATTGTATCTCTCCTCCATGTACAAAATACATCCCACCTAGAAATAACTTTAACAAATCAAAAAGTAAGAATTGTAAAGATTCTGTCATGTGTTGTCTGAGGCTTTCTATGCCTGTGTTATGACATGATTCATAAACATTCTTTTACAGTGGCATCTTTTGCAAAAATGTTAATGCCACTTGAAAAAACCCTTCCATCCACTTGTTCAACCACAGGGTTGTTTAAACAATGATGTAAGTGTAGGAAAGCATTTTCTTGGAGGATTTGAATGAAGCTTCTGTTCACATGGTAGGGGTTCCCAACTTGGGAGGGACAGTGTGAAGTGGTCCTGCTTAGTTGGTTGAAACCTTGGTTTCATGATGAGAAAGTGACAGAACAGCAATTCGTGAGAGTATTGTTGCAGATTACTAAGAGAGAGTCATTTACACTTCTGCAAGGAAAAACTGCTCCAGAAGTTTGGGAGGAGCGGATTCAGGGTGGGCAACGAGGGCTCCAGGGGCAAGTACAGAAGCAGAAAATTCTGTTTTGCAAGCAGAACTCTTTCTGGCATGATGTTGAGCCAAAAGATGAAACTTTCTACACTGGGAAGAAGCAAGCTTGGTTTGCTCTAAGGTTTTTAAGAACAGGAAACCAAATGTTTCTTAGTAATACAAATTTGAACCTATTGTTTTCCTCTTTTAACAGTGTCTATAATTAAAATGCTTTATGGGCATATAAGCACCAAACAAATGTTTTCTTGCAAGAATTTACCCAGTGAGAGGACAGTATTGATGTTAGCTTCTGTAACAAGGATGTATTGTCTTATTATTTTATTGATTTATTTGTATCCTACCTTTCCAGTACTGCCCAAAGCAACTAAAATAATAAAATAGAAAGTTTAACATAATTCAGATAGAGAATAAAATAGAACTTTTGTGAAATAGCACATCACTTTAAAAGAAACATGAAATAAACAGTGAAAATCTAGTTCTCTGTGGCTGCTTCCAGGCTCTGGAACTCTCTGCCAAGGGAGGGAAGCCTGGCTCCCTGCCTGTTGTCCTTCCGCTTGCAGTCAAAACCGTTTTTCTTTAGGTACAATTTTGGCTGTTCTCTTTGCTCAACTAGATTTATTTAAGAATGAATCTCCTGTGGATCTTAAAGCCTGGACAGGCCTTAGGGGAGAATGTGGTCTTTTGACGGCCTAAACTTTTCCCTGTTGCATTTGCATAGGGTTACACCTTAAATTATTTAATTTGTTTAGGTTGCCAAATACTTTCACTTGGGAGGGCAAAAAATATTTTCCCTTGTCATGCCATAGCACACAATATCCGGCAGGCATCAATGGCATTTTTGCAGTTGTATTCTGTAGAGTGCTGAGTGTGCTCTTATTGGTGAAATGTTGCATTTTCGAAGTATAGAGCATTGTATGTAGAAAAGTGTTCTAGGCCTGATACTGGCTGGCTTGAAAACTATGTGCATCTGATGTATAGTGTTTATTCACTCAGTATATTGCTTTTGTGATCAATAGCTGGACATTAGTGGAATCCACAATGAGCAGCACTAGGGTTTTTTTATGCGCAATAATATAAATCCCAATGCCAAAAAGTGAAGATGTCCGAGAGAACAGCTTCATTTAGCTTTACTCATTCTGGTGGCCTCTTTGTATGAGAATTTTAGCAACAAGATAAAATTACACCATTGACTGCGTTGGCCCAATGTAACAACCCATCGTGGGTACTTACTCAAGGGTTGCTGTGCTGTGTGAACCTGAACTACTTCCCTTAGGGTGGGTTGTTTGAAGGCAATAAGCCACCCTGATAACCTATGACTTGTTCTAGGTGTTGCACACACAACAGATGTGGTATCATCTGAACTTGGGTGACTAACCCAGTTGTAGGTTGCGGGAAGCAGTGAAGCAAAACCCTCTTGCCGAATTTGCCTTGGCCGCTGTCAGTGGCTCCAGCAGTATTTAAGCATCATGTTGGCACAACTATCACTAGTTCAGCCTCCCCACTCTACTTGCACCCCCCTTTTTTTGACTTTTTTCCTGCTTCCTTCAGCTTTTCATGGGCCTTCACTGTGGCAGCCTCCCCAGAGTGCTCAAGCAGTACGCTGGACTGGTCGTCACTGATACCTCACATGCTTTTAAAAAATGCTTTGGATGCTACAAATATTCGGAATTTTTTCCCTAAGGAATCAGGTTTTCAGATGTGCACAAGTGCGATCTTGTCTGCCTGTTTTTGTGGTAAGTACCTGCTGTAACAATGCAGTAGGTTCTAGCCAAGGTTACTGTTCAAGCAAGGCTGTTACTTCGGTTCTCACTTTAGAGTTGTCAGCTGTCGTGCAAAGTGCAAAAAGAGCTTTGCTTGTGAAAGGACATAGTGAGTATTATCACTTCCTTTGAGCAAGATCCTCTGGTTTTGAAGTGTGGGCTGCACTGATCTCATCTCAGTGTCTCCCACCTTATATACCATTCCCCAAGGCACTAGGTGCTCATGGCAGAGGGAAAGTGCATCCTACTTGGTTACAGGGCTTGACAGCTGTCAGATCAGAAGCTGTCTTTTGACTTGGCAGGTGTCCAAAGAAAGGCTGTTTTAAAACAAGGTTTTTCTAAGGGCTAGCTAAACTGGATTTTGTGATAGGGAAATTTGCAACCATGAAATCCACACAGCTCTGAAAACCAGATAGTTTGTTTAAAAAATAACAAAGCTTTTTACAAGTATTTCTGGTGCATAAAAAAGAAGTGGCAAGCAAACCAGTGACAGCTGCTCCAGTGTGCCCTTTGGGCACTTCAGAAAGGCTGTCAGTGGCAGAGATTGTGAAAAGATTACAAAAGAGAAAAAAAGCGGTCAGATGTGGGGAGAGGAGACAAGGCAGCTTCAGCTGCCAAAGCCCCTGCAATACAGACAGGAGGACTGAGTGGGGAGGGCCACCCACATTGAGCCTGCCAGACACCCCACGGGTGGTTCGCTGCATAGCTTAGTCAAGGACGGGTCGCTGTGTTGCGTGAACTCATCATTCTGTTGATGTGTGCGCTTCCCTCTTGGTTTCTTGTGGGTGATTTGCGGTGGGAACTGGCTGTGTAGTATTTTGGAAGCATGTGTTCTTCACAGCTTGGCTGCAGATGTGTGAGCTTCAGAGTTCAGCTACCACTTTGCACCCCCTCATTGCCATTGCAATTGAAGGCAGCCAAGAACTGCCTTCAAACTGCTCATCCCTTCCTATTCCTCTGCTGCCAACTGGTTCCCTTTGATATTTATGGGCAGCTCTTCAAAAACAGTTGAGCAATGATTTTGGTGGATGCTTTCAAAACTATGTACTGCTGAGAAGGTGGGGACTGGGGAGACAAGAAAGCACTTCTGTTTTTAGCAATAGGAGCAGATAATTGTGGTTCTCTGACAGATTGATGTCAGGATGCAGTTGAGCTGGTGGTTCAGCAGCTGCCGTAGCTACCTGAGCAGGGGGAAACAGCAGCATCGCTGAAACAATATATATCTTTATTCAGAACTAAGACCCATGAGTTTTACACTGCTCACTCCCAAGTAATTGTGAGTGGAATTGCAGGCTTATTGTCAAGCAATTCAATACATTT